GCACACCATCATGGACTTCTTCTCTACTTAAACCTGAGTGACTCGGGCTAAATGTACCACCCTCTTAATCTCCAATGTGAAGCTGTTTCTTTATGAGGGCAGGCAAAAGAAAAGGCGGTACTAAATGACTGAATTAGTGTCCATTCCCAGAACTCACTGCATCACAGACTGGCGGAAACAGCAGGTTATTGCCATGCCAGGTTTATTTCTTCAGCCCTGAATTTCATCACCGAGGTCTAGGTCTGCAAAACGATACTCAGGACATGTATTTTTAGATTAGCTCATTAGTCTCCTATTGGTATTAAACCAGGCCTCATTATAGCATCCCTCTAAAGCTTACATAGGATGCCTTTTTCTTTGGTCTCCAGCTCTCAATAATACAACTTAGGGATTTTTTTTTTTTTTCCGGAACACAAGAGGACTCACAGAGCAGCTTTCAAACTGAGGCCCATCACTCTAGCTGGGTTGGCTCAGTGGATAAGGAGTCAGCCTGTGGACTGAAGGGTCGAGGGTTTGATTTGATTCCGGTCAAGGACACATGCCCGGGTTTTGGGCTACATCCCCAGTAGGGGGCATGCACACTCCCTCACCCACTGACTCTTCTAGTTCCAGTTCTAAAAGAACTACGGCCGCTTTGCAGGTCCTTTATCTTATATCTACAGTTTTCCAAATAGTAATAGCATCAAACTGCTCATGGGGACCTACAGATTGGAAAAAGATGGTGGGGAAGGGGAGCAGCCCAGGCAAGGACACACACAGGTGCCCACACGTAACAGTCATATCAGATGCCATCCACTTTCTACTTCACACAATTACAACCTTTAATACGAAGATCTAACCATTATGACGTTTATATTTCCTTTAAAGTTTACTGTTGCCTTAGAAGCTTTCCTCAGTGCTGAAAATGTAATTGCACTCTCAACAAGGCAAACCTTCCCAATCATGACCTGTGCTCATGGGAACTGTGGTAGGCACAAAATAAAACTCACAGACACCTAATTTTATAAATCAATAAACAATAAACTACATTTTTCACCTACGAGGGTGACAAGACCCCATGATGGAGAGAACAGGCCCATGGCTGTGGGAACACAGGTCCACGCAGTTCCAGGGCAGTGACTGAAATGCATGCTGCCATGTCCTTTGACCTGCCATGATTCTCTCTACAGGAACTGAGAAAAAACATTCCAAGATGCACATCTAAGGATGGTCCCTGGGCTTCAGGTGTGAGAACAAGGGACAGCCTGCATGCAGCCAGTGAGTCCCAAAACACATACATATACACACACACACACACACACACACACACACAGGGCCACGGGATCCTGTGAAGGCAATGATGGAAGACCCCAGAGAAGTTGAATGACCAATCAGTATTCTTTTCCAGGCTCCACTAGCCCCCACCAGGATGTTGGCAAATACAAGGAGAAGTGGCCCTCGGGCGTCTCAGGCCTGGGGAAGGGACCGCTGTCACTGTGTAGGCCAGTCCCCTCAGCAAGGAAATTCTTGCCCCAAATACCAATAGCAGCCAATATTTCTCTTACATTAAATTTCTGGACCTAACCCCAAAAATTGTTGCTAATGGTCAATTTTGAGCGGCCACGCTTGGGGCCTTTGTAACTTCCACAAAGTGTGTCCATGCTGCTGCATCTTCCCTTCTCTGCTTCCTCCTCCTCCGCACCGCGTATGAATAGTGAATTTGAACTTTACTATCAGAATTCTTCACCTCAAGCACATAATAACTTAATTCAAATAAGCGAATGTTGAAGGCAAGAGTGAAGGCTCTGATGGCCTGTGGCCTGCTCTCATCTTTGCTTCTCAGGCCAGGCTGGCTGGCTTCACTGAGACTGGCAGGAGGGGGCGTCTCGGGTCCTAGAGCAGCCTGGCTTCTTTCACCCCTCTCGCCACACCTCCCCAGCACCATCTCCCTCCTCTGTCTGACCGGAGTAACACCAGAGAAGCAGGAGGACAGACAGGGACTCACCCTGAGGACGCCTAGCGGCAGCCCACTCATCCCTGCCATTTTAAACACATCCTAGCACACCTCCCGCTGAAGAGACACACTTTTAAAATGAAATGTTAGCTACTAATCACCAAGGAATCAGACTCATTTTCCAATATTTCTGGGAAATGTGGGGTTTTTCCAAACAAAGGAATTACAGTGTTTTGTCTAAATACATTTTTTAAAAAATACACAAGTATTTAATCTGTGTTCTTGAAACAGAAGACATAAGGTTTACAGTTGGTGCCAGAGTACAATACGGGAGCCCCACTTCCATGCTCTTCCCTGATCCTCACACACCACCTTCGCTCTCTTCCTCATCCTCTGATTTCAGTGAAAACGGCACTGCTTTCCTGAGAGGCCCCCAGCACCTGGCCCCGCCACTCGGCTGTATCCCACCAACTGCAAGCTTGGTGAGAAGCTCACGTTGGACACAAGCACTCAACAACGGCAACAGTGGATGCGTGAACCGAGGAGCGCAGGTGACCATTACTTCGGGTGTCTCCACCTCTAGCCCACACACCAAGAACTGAGGCAATGAAATACCCACAGGAACCAGTGGGCCAGGCTCGTGTACAAGTCTAATCTGAGGTGCATCTACAACAGGACAGGCAAATAGCTCCAAGTCTTTCCAGAAGACCAGTTGGCATCGGGCCCCTTAGACCAAAGACACTGTTAAGCAGGTTAACCTGCAACAGTCGTCCGTGCCCAGACCACCCGCCACGGGCCTAGTGTAGTGCAGCTCACCTGTCAGGACAGTCATGCTGCCCCTCTGCAGGCCCTGCCAGCCCCGTCCACTTCCCCTCTCCCTCAAAGGTGGCTCCTCTCCTACCCACACCCACTACCCCTTCACGTCCAGTCAATGGGCTCACTCCTGCCCAGCCATTTCCCTGGCTACATCCCTAAGACGTGCTGGTCGCCCTGGACCTCCACTGGACATAGGAAGCTGCCACACCGTTTTTCCTCATCCTCCTCACCAAAATCTGACAGGCTGACCCCTCAAGTCTCCCAAGTTTGTCCTCCTCTGTGACCCCCAAAACCTAACTCCAGCCCCCTCCAGTCTCCCTGGGCCCCAACAGCCTCCCATGGAGCCCCCAGAGCTCTGCAAACCTGGGGTCGTAGTCCACCCCCTTCAACCCGAAAGGCTCGGCTCCCACCTGGGATTTTGATCTTACACTTAAGAAAAAACTGAAACACCACTGCTTAATTAAATTAACTACTTCTCCTTTCCCCTGCAACACGGCTGCCAAAGTCATCTTTCCAAACTCAAATGCCACCCGCCTACTTAAAAAAAAATAAGGTTAACTAGAGAAAAGGCCAAAGAAAAGTAAATGCCCTTACTTGACCAGTCTCCATTCCCAGCTTGGTCCAGCAGCCCGGGTGGAACCTGGCTGCAGCCACTCCTGACATCACCCAGCTCTCAGGACAGGGAAGGCCACTTCCCCTGTTTCTCCCCTTGCTGCTTCTCAGCCTGAACTACATACCCCATTATCATCAGAGCGCCCAGGACCAAACATCAGCTCCAGGAGAACCACCCCACAACCCAGACAGCCCTCAGCTGCCCCTCGCTTCCCAAGGGCTGCTTCTCCAAAAGAGAGTGAACGTCAGAAAAGGCTGTTGATGAGCCTTTCTCCCTGCACCCAGATGGCAGGGGCCGTGACTGTCTCTTTACATCCTCCAGAGGCCAACAAGGCGTCAAAGAGTCTCCCCTCTCCACTAGTCATTAATAAAAAAAGAACAGGTAAACTGGGCTCCCTGAAGCACACAACCCCAGAATTGCACGCACCCTTACAGAGGCACTGGGTCCAGCGGCACCTTCTGCAAGATGCCACATTAACCAGCTCCTGGGCACATACTAACCTCTCTTGCCTCTGTGGGGAATACATGGGCAAATGCAATTAGAGATGATAAAAATCAAGCTAACGTGATGTACGGATTACGACTTCAACTTAAAACACAGCGCCCAGGATGCAACTGTGTGTTCATACACACTCTCCACCAAATCAAACCCAGCGCTGGAAGACAGGAGCCAAGCGCGAGAGCACGCCCATCAATCAGTGAGAGCATGGGGCGCTCTCGGGCAGACTTCTCAGAGTCTATTAAAACCTCTGAAACGACGAAAAGGCATAATGACTATTATTGGTTCCACAGATCTGGACACATTTTGACTTCCTCTCGCTGTGTTTCAGGTCGATGTAGTGCACCTGAGCTGTAGTTCCACCTCTGTGCAATAAATCAGTAAATAAACAAACAGCCTCTTCTCACTGATGTTTACAGGACAATGCATTCTAAGAAACACTGAAGGATAGAACTGGGGCTTCAGTGACTTTAACTGACTGTATTACAAAGTGCAGTAAGAACTACGGAACCAATAAAACAGACTATGTTTTTAGACCTAAGGCCAATTTCTTGGAACAAGTTAACAAAAAATCATTCAATATATTCTATTGTTTCATGACAAATACAAAGCAAATTTTTTACATTTCATTAATCACCAAATTCCATTTTTCTGAGGAAAAAATGTGGCCAAAACAGGGTGGGTTTTAAACGGCAGGAGTACTTTGTTGATCAAAGCTGAATTAACTTCCTGCACTCTCCACAAAGCAGGTACACAGGGGCATTCTGCACACAACCAGTCCCCCCTGGTCCCAGCCCTCCATCTCACTGAATTCAGGGTGGCCTTCAACAAAGGTATTCAAATTTCTAAGTTAATAGTCTGAAAAGATGAAGGAAAAGTCAGATGATATCATTTTAGCCTCATGCAACATCTGTCATTGGTGCCAAGGCTGCAAAACCCAGGTGTAGAAGCAAATCACACACATCTCAGTAAAAAGCTATGAGAGTTATTTCATCTCTTTCACTTTTATCCCGTATTATTTGCTTTAAAAGTCTGGTAATAAACAGCACTGCAGTTTGTGTTGTCATTCTAAAATAAAGTGGGAAAACTACAAAGAATGGAGGCAAATATCTGTCTATAAAACCAAGCAAATATACTTACATCTTTTGCCATGTTATCAGATCCGTGAAATCAATGCTATAAATGTTCACCCTCCAGAGAAGAAAAATGATTTTTCTGAAGGAAGGAAAAACAGAAATGAGTGAGAATGAGAAAAGAAGTTAATAAAATATCAACATTTTCCCCAGTACCAGCACCAACCATCCTGACTGCCTCTGCAGGTAGCAGGCACTTTCCTTTCTAAACCCACACTCCATCCTCAAAGCGCAGCTGGGGAAAAAAAAAAACAAAAAACCCACACCTGGGATTTCTGAAAGTCATCTAAATGAACGAAAATGCATCCAACACCAGGATGCCCAGTCCCGCTCCCTGCAGACCCCCGTCCACCCCGAAGCCCACACAAAGACTCCCGCACGGCACCCGGTCGGGCCTGGGACCCAGCCTGCGCCCGCGCACCCAGGGCGCAGCTGGGGACCCCTTGCCAACGCCTGGAAGCAGCCCCTCTGTCCCTGCGCAAAAGCGCACCCCAAGGAGCGCCCGGGTCCCGCTGGCTCGATCCCCTCGCCCACTCGGCCGGCCGGTAACTCTGACAGGTGGGCTTCCGGGGTCCGGCCTCCGGCCTGTCACTAGGCCGCGGCCGCCTCGCCCCGAGCGCCTCCCGCG